TTTTTGTCTGGCTAATTCATTCTAGCTAGCGACAGTGGTGAAACGTGATTCAAATTTAAACTGTTCAGTAATTGTTTTGTATACATTTCAGCAAATGGACAAGCTGAAAGCTTACGAGCAGCTTAAAAAAGACCTTGAAAATGGTAATCCAACACTTTATTAAATTTTTTGGTAATGCTTGCAAGTTAATTTTTTTAACTGCAAAGAACCCTGACAATATCATGCTTTAATTATTTAACATTGTATGGTATTCTTATTTACTTCTCTTTATTAATATGCATGTTAACAGACGTATATAGTTATTACTTTATGATATTGTTGGAGTGCCCGATTTAAAAAAATAAATAAATAAAAATGACAAAAGCTAAATTTCTCACAAAATTAAAAGATTGCAATTTAAAAGTTAGTCATGTAGGATCTGTCTCCTACAGTCAATCTATAACTACTTACCCTTTTAAAATTTTATTTGAAGGTGAGATTACCCAAAAAGGCTTTGATAACAACATAAAAAAGCTCCTGACAGCAGAAAAATCAGGTAGGTTTTGATACTTTTGAACAACATGCAAAACAATCTCCTTTATTTAACATGATATGCTTAGCAGGTTATGATTGAATAACCACTTTATTAATAGATGCAATACATTTTGAAAGCAGATGACTGTGCAGTAGTCTGTGATTGTAGTAGAATTCTATAAACCACATGTTTCACATCAATGCCCTATTTATATTGCAGATGACACTACTTCAACATGTGGCAATGAATTTCTCAGTAAGAAAACCACAATTATTTTGCTTCAAGGTCATTTGTAATATAGAACTCGCTGTGGATCAGTTTGATTAACTTTCAGCTTCATCCATTACAGGTGCAGCAGAGGCCTTTGGTAAAGCCAAGAAACTACTACAGCCTCAAGTAAAGAAAAGGCAGTTTCCACTGAATGATAAACGTTTGGACCATGGCAAATCATTATTGAAGGTTAGTTAAAAAGTGAAGCTACCTGTATGACTATCAGCAATATGTTAAAAAATAACTTTCTAAATTTGGCATATTTCTTAATAAATTTCCCTTTTTTTCCTTGATGCTAGGTCAGACTGGCTCCCATGGAGTGGAAGCCAAGAACTCATAGAAAGTGTGGACGGTACCAGAAGTTAATAATGGACGAAGCTCCACCTCGAATCATTCTTCAAGGCCATGAAACCTATGATGATTTAATTACCATAGGCAAAGAATGCTTCTGGCCAGAGCGTACTGAGGGGAGTGAGTTCACTCTTTGCCATTCTGACGGGACCAGGTGGAGTAAGCAGGAGTTCCACAAAGAATACGGAACTGTTTCTGATATTACACATATGTGGAAAAGAACAATATACATCGGGCGACGACAACTGGGTAATAAAGTGTTCAATATTACTATTAACTACTGTCTAGCACTCAAATTTGTATGGTATGAAATAATTTTACTTTTTGTACAGAGGTCGTGTGTTTGGATGATCAAAGTTCCATCTCAGGTGTGTGCCTGCCCAAACCAAATTGAATATTTTTGATGTTATGATTGAACATGGTACACTGGCCATGTTGGGCATTCAGATATATTGCAATTAATGTGTTATTTTACAGATGAAGACCCTGTAACTAAAGTGGGTGGTGATGAAAGTTGCAGTTTAGGTGAATGCCTGGACATCTAACTAAATCATTAAAAATGACTTCTTTTTTGGTTTGCATTACATTTCCAACCTTTACACACTTGTTTACTATGCTTGGTCATTGCACAGTTACTGTATATAATATGCATCTTATTCTGCAGATGAACTTCCTGGAACCCTCATAGGACAAAGTGTTGCAGAACAGGTAAAACCATGGCTTCATCTTGAACAGAACAATTAATTTCTTATCATTGTCATAAATGTGGATATTTTCACAGTGCACCCTGCAAAAAGTATATCTTGGCTGAATGTGTTCATAGGATTTCCATGCAGAAACATCCAGCTCAGCTGAATTTGAAACAGGGAGAGTCAGAAAGAAAAGCCAGTCCAAGCAAAGGAAGGAGGAAAATGTAGGGTCATCTCTAGGTCCAGGTGGAGCAGTGAGCCAAGACATGTTACCACATGCAGTTATTGAGTCAAAAGAAGCTATGGAGGGAGCTGAAGAGCTATCTGAAGGTGCTGGAAGTAGTGGGCTTTTGATAGATTTTGCACAGTCTTTCAACCCAACTCCAAAATCGCCATCATGTAAGCATTCTTTCCCATTTAGGGCTAACATCATATCATCAGACAAAATTGTAAATAAAGGTTTTCATTCTTCACTATTTGGTACTCAAGTTCCTGGAGTAAACCTAGATATTAGTGATCCAGCAGTTAATAGAAGAATGATTAGCAGTAGCTGTATGTTAATGTATGTTACTTTGTGGGGTTTTTTTTGTTTTTGTTTTTTTATCCCCAAGTGTATCTTCCACGTGTTCCATATGTGGAAGAGGCTTTAATTACATACAGTGAGGACAATCTACTGGGAGAAGGAACATTTGGCAAGGTATATAGAGGTTCTTTTCATGGTACTCCAGCAGCTGTTAAAAGGATCATGTGTGGCCAACATGGGATGGAGGACAGCGACATTCATCATGAGATAAATGTTTCACTGTAAGAACTTTGACACACTTTTTTTTTTTTTTCATTGTCAAAATCGATTCTTCCTCAAGCTGTAACATAATATGCCTCTATTTTGTTTTTTTTATTCGGACATGTTTCTGTTTTATTAGGAGACTGTCTCACCCCAACATCGTCAGACTCATGGCAGTTGCCCGCACTGAGTCCTGCTTTTTGTTGGCAGCTGAATACATTCATGGCGCAACCCTGCAGCAAGTGCTTCACACAGACAGCTGCTTGGTGAAGGTACCAATACTCATAATTTTATGTTTAATACATTTAGGTAGATGTGAATAATCTTAATACCCTCATATTAAAAAATTACTTTTTATTGCTGGCATTTGTTTAAATATGTACTTGAAACCATCTTTGTGTACAACATATAAAAAGACTGATTCCTTTTTTTCTCTCTCATATTTTCAACCATTTAGAATTACCAAAATGATCTGTAATTGTCAAATGCCAGAAAAGTATCAACTTAGTAAAAGAATAATCTTAAATTTTTAATAATAAGCTCCCTTACTGTTTTGGTAGAATTGCTTTTTTTTACTTGGATGAGGTTCAGACATTTTAGGTTTCCTTCTACAATATTCTTACAATATTTTTCAGGAATTTCTGTCCAGTCCTCCAGACAGGACTGGTGTAACTGAGTCAGATTTGTTGGCCACCTTGCTCACACACACCATTCACCTCTGCTTACAGTTTCGCAAGAGGACTGCAATCAGGGCTTTTTGATGGTCACTGCCAAACATTTACTTTGTTGGTCTTAGGTCCCATTGTAATTTATTGAAATTGAAATGGCAATTGCATTTGAATACTAATCCTATTTGAAGTAATACATTTCCAGTGGTAGACATGTTAGATTGTCACACCTGGCTACGCATTGTTTTATTAATATTATATATTGTCTTGATAGCTTGAAGGGGATGATGCCGGTTTCATATCACTGGACTTATCCATGGCAGTAGAGTACATCCATGCACAGAGAATCATTCACCAGGATATAAAGCCAGCAAATGTCATGGTAAGCCATACTGTATTTTTCTTTTTCTCCACTTTGTTTTTGAAGATCAAAATAAAAATAGTATATTATTTATTTAACTTTATTCTCTTCAGTCTATTAAACACTACATTTGAACAATGAGAAACTTTTCTGGCATATTCATATAAAGGATTTTTTTTTTTAAAGTAAGAAGCCTTACATTGTTTCTTTAATAGTCCAATTTTTCTTAAATATGTTGGTTCTTGCACACCTACAAAATTCCCAAACCTGTTGTAAGTTTAGGCTTTACAAACTGAAAGTTTCTATTATTTTATTAGTCTGTACCACTTGCTTAAGTGGAATGGGAATTAAAAAATGCACAGGACTATAAAACCAGGTTGGATCATTAACCAATCTGTTAATTTTAATGTTGGGTATAATAAACAATCTCAGAATAAATCTGCAGTGATTGGGTGATCTGGGTGCTAAAAGCTTTGAGGGTTTTTTTTTTCCCAATTATGAGCTGTGGTCTTTGGAATGACATTTTTGATAACATTTGTGAAATTTTAGACAACCTGGTAAGTTCTCATTTGTATACCTTATAGGTTCACCACCCTTCTAAGAAGGCAGTCCTGACAGACTGGGGCATGGCAAACATAAGAGACACTGTGATGCTTCGTCAAGGGAGTAAGTTCACTGCCCAGGCTACTGGTCCAGCTGGTGGCACATATCTTTACATGGCCCCTGAATGCATACTGATGTTTGAAGAGGCCTCGTTCCAGACAGACATGTGGTCCCTCGGAGCCACATATCTGGAGATCCTGACGGGTTCCGCTCCGTGGATGGTTAAAAAACAAAGAGAACTGGCTGCACTAATGGCCACCAAAACCCCACCACATGCCCTATCACATCTCAGTGACAAAAACAGTTTTCTTGGTGATTTGGTGAGCTATGACCCAGACTCAAGGCCTTCCGCATCTGATGTTGTTAAGTTTCTCAAGTCAGGCCTTGATCTTACGAGCCGATATGGCTACAAGTGGTAATGTTGCTACAGTCTGCAGTTCAAAAGTCTTCCAATGTGAATTATGTTCTACATTATTGTTAACAAAAGTTGTGGTAAATGAAACACTGAATCATTATGAAAGATGGCACCTTGTCAATTGTATTTCAACATTTTATTGTACATTTTGTTGGTCAGACAGTTTTCAAATTACCTGTTGATTTTAAACAAGGATAAATAAATGTTAACAAACACTGTTGTATGATTTTATTGGTCATTGGAAATGTTTACTGGTGCACCTTCCATCCTCTCTCTCTTCAGAAAGATGTATATGTCATTTGCCTCGGCAAACGTAGAAGGTGTAGGAACTGCATTTCTGTTCATGGCAGTTGTGAGCTCTTGGACTAGCATGAGGTATGCAGCAAGGCAACCATCAGGTGTGCAGGGAAACTGGCTGTTTTCTAAAATGTTCTGGCACATGTCTCTGAATTCCTGGTTTGCTACCAGTGAAGGCTCTTCCCTCTCACAGATTAATTGCTTGGCATAGTCTAAAAGGTCTGGGTCAACTATGTGCAGCACATTGCCATATCCTGCGAATGAAAGACAATATTGAAAAGATGTTCACTTTGAATGTTAAAAATAAATGAATAATGACAAAGCTGTTCTAGAACCTGTATAAGAAGCAGTCAGTGTTTACAGATGTTATTACAGAAACTTAAAGATGGAAATATCACTCAAACATTTAGATAAATTTTTAGTTAAAGGTGTCAATATGAAGCCATTTTAGTATTGACAGTAGAAATTCAGAAATCTCTTATTGTACTACAAGTAGGCTTCTTCGGAAGACACAAAAGAGAAAGCACATTATAACAGTTTTACGCTCATTACACTGGCTTCCAGTATATTTTAGAAAATTCATTTTAAAATTTTAGTAATGACTTTCAATGCTCCGAATCGTGAAGCTCCTGCCTTAATTTCTGATCTTATAGAACCCCACGCTCCCTCTCCCAGCCTGTGATCATCTAATCAATGGCTGTTAGTAGTCCCACCAGAAGACCAGAGGCAATAGATCTTCCAAAGCGGTGGCTCCCAGGTCATGGAATGCTCTGCCTCCATCATTACGTTTCCTTGATTGTATTTATTCTGTATGTTCGATTGTGCTGTTTTATGTTTATCTGTTTTATATTATTGTGAAGCCACTTTGTGGTTTTTATCCTGTGAAGAGTGCTATATCAAAGTAAAAGTAAACTAATGAAAGTTAAAAAACAAACAAAAAAATAAAACCCCACAGGCTTTCAAATGACATACCAGGAGGTGGTGAGGTAAACAGAAGGTCGGGTTTCCCAAATGGACCAGGTGCATTGCGTTGCTTGCGGATGTCATGGGTGTTCCAAACTGTTTGCTCCGTTTTTAAGTCTCTTTGAAGCAGTGGCAAGTGTGAGTACTGCAAGCAGTTGCTATGAAAAAGGAGAATTAAAAAATTAATACTTTCATCTGCTTCTTTGAGGTAGAATAAGTAAAAGCTAAATTTTAATCAGTACTCAAAAAACAAAGGCATTCCTAGACCACATACTTTCATACTGCTGCTTGATTATTTTTCATGTCTAAAAATATTGACTTACATGTGCACAGGATTGTCCAGTTCAAGAATCCCAGACTCCATCATGGCCTACGCATGTTGTTTTGAAAAAGACACAAGTTGTGAAGGTGAGAATTTCATTAGTGAAAAGGTACAGATGTACATAAACACAGATTCTGGCCTTGTGTTTTCAGATAAACTAATCCATCGTATGTTTAACGAAATTTGGATGGCTAGTCTTTGTTAATAGGTTTTACAGGTGAAAGATTTCCTTTACCTCAAATGTTGTCAGCCATTTCTTAATCCATGTCCGCTTTAAAATACTGTTGAAACATTCAGCTCTCTAAACAACAGAAACATGACATTATCAGTTTTGTTGTCAGGTTGTTACTTTAGAAATAGTCATTTACCAGCTTAAAAACAAACCTGGTTGTGCACTGATGTTCCCATTCTGAAGCACCTCCATGCCTGATTCCCAAGATCTCGCATGTGAAATGCCATCTGCATTTGACCCACAACAAGGTTCTCCTTTCCTCTGTCCCCCCGAATCATTTGAGGACAGCCTAAAAACACAAACTGAAGATAATTAATGAATGATGAAAAAATAAATTTATTAACAAAATGTAATCTTTTTTAACCCCCCATTTTTTAGTATATTGCATACCACCCTGTTCTTGAACAGCCTCAAAGAAGTATCTGGCCACAAAGTTTTGTTTGCGGTTGGATGTGCCCACCTTTAGCCATAGAACCTTCCTGGAAAATCTGAAAAGAAAGAAACAGAAAAGTGGCCACTTGTACATATGATTTAATCATGTTTTGGCACTATGTTTGGTTTTTGTTACATTCCCCAAGAGTATGCTGGTTTTCCATTGTATTATGTCTAGGCGTTGTTTCTGGTTCCTCCGGCCATTTTGACTGCCATAGTTGTGTAGGCTTACATGCCTTTGGAATTGAATGTGACTCTTGACTGTGTTCAGACTGACGCGAGGGGAGAGCTGCCTTTTGTTTTGTAATCCCTTGTATTCTCCTGTTTATGTGTTGGTTAGGTAGGTTATCGTAAATTGTACATTTTATTTTCTTTGGAGTTAAATTCTGTTTACTTTATATCAGGGATGTTTTGTTTGTTGTGTTGGTCTTGGCCCTCCCTGAAAT